TACTATTATTACTGAAATTATTGCTCTTTTTGGTGGAGATGTCGTACGGTTTGAACGACAGTTTCGATGAATTACATGAAGTCGTGTTACTCTGACTGCTGTTGTCGTCGCCGTTGACTATACTGTTCGCCGATGAGCTGCCGGTCTTTTTCCTGTCACCCCTGTCCGAGTGGTGCGAACCACCGGCGCTGTGATCCTTGGATTTGTCCAAAATCAGGGGCTTATTGTTTGGCGAATCGATGCCAATACTGGAACAGGTCTTCGCCAACAACACGAGTGGACTCTTATTTGCGTCCAACTGTTTCACACATAAGGAGAGACAGGAAATGGAGATTTTAGTACTCTTTCGCCAAAAGTCTTAAACTTTTTTTATAGTTTTATTTATCATTCAATAAATTAAGCACTTTTTCTCTCAAACACTATAATTCTCTTATTTATGAATAAAATACTATTTACACACAAATTATTTGTTAGAACCTTGATCCCGGCGCCCGAAAAAAGCCCTGTCCGCTCTCATAAATATATTTCCCTTTTTATGTTTCATTTTGTTTTCCCATTTCTTATATCCTAACTAATAAATCGTGAAATTATGGTTTATAGTCAGCGAATAATATACGGTCTATAAGACAACATAATACGGTTTATTGCAAATTTATTGCCTTTTTATATAAATATCTATTAATTCGTCGAAAATTAATAATTTATTGTATAATATGTGTTGTTGTTATCAAACAATTGTTGTTTGACTTAAGGTTTATTTGTTATAAATGTGTGGTGGATGACTTTACTATGCAAAATATACGAAATGTATATCTGGTCATAAATTAATCGCTAAAATACAAAGAGGTTTGTAAGAGAGTGGGAGAGAGTGTGTATGAGAGAGACCGTAAAGTTAACATTGTGTGAGAAACAAGGTAGATTTATAGCTATCAATATAGTCTTAATCCGTGCGTTAAATTGATATATAAATGAATAATAAATTGTATTTCAATTTCAAATAAGAGTTAAGTTTCTCATAAATATGTTGCCGTAAAGTGATATACAAGTCGTAGACTTGTTTTCGGTGAACGATAAATAAGTTTTATAAGCAATTGAAAGGAAATCTATTTTTCAGCAAAAGTTTGCAATTTTGTAATAATGTGCTAAAAAATTAATGTCAATTGAATTGCTTTTTACATATGGTTTGCGAAAATGTTTAGCACAATATTGGTCTGAATTTGTTTGCCAAATGGTGTTTACCTACACTATAATAAACTCATTTACGATTTAATTGCAATTAAAAACATATATTTTTATTAATATATACCCACTCGCTATAAAAGCAGCCTATCTATATTGCACACACCATGTAGTATTAATAACAGCAATAATAATTATAATTATAATTATTTAATCACTTTTTTATTTGCTGTTAGACAGAAATCTTTGCCTTTTATTATATACTAAAAAAATTGTACAGAATTATACTGAACAATAAATTGCTTTTTATAATAAGGAAATTACAATATATATGTGGTATTCAATAATAAAAATATATATGCTATTTATAAAGTGGGCTATAAATTCATAAAAATCAAATGATATATAAGTTATATTTGAGTCAAACTAAGCGCTGACTTCAATCATCATTTGTGGCGATAATTAACGCCAACTGTATTATTAATATTATAAAGTAAAGTATGGTGATTAAAAACAGTTTTGTCATTAAATCACATAAAATTTGTAATTTTTATTATTCCTATTATAAAAAAATATGTCAGACTTTATATGAAACACAGAGTTTTCTGTACTAAACCAAAAAAAGAAAACTTGTTAATAATGTTATAAAACAAATGGCTATTAAAATATTTATTATTACAACTAACTGTTACAGCGATAGATATAACAATTTTAATAAATTTATATATTATATTTATTACAATATAGTGGTATAAAATTTGTCACAAGCTTTTATCATACATATTACTTATTCCGATGCATTAATTATCATACATAATTGAATTAATTATTGGAAATTTATATGAGAAATCATTAAGAAATATCTTATGACATAATGAAAGTGCATAATAAATATCACGATCGACAGCATAGGAGGCATAATATATACTAGTAATACATTCAGACATATAATGTATTTGATTGGTGTGAATATCGCAAGTAACTAATTTTTATTTATTTATTTCTCTCTCATTATTAACTACTATTCACTCAATACAGAGTTGTTGTGTAATAGTATCGGCAACAAAAATATTAAGACTTTCTTATTATCAAACATACATCAAAAAGTGTACTGCAATACCAAACACATAAGATGTTATTTTTGATGCAATGATTTATAAGTTATAACTCATAAAATATCGTGATTTGACTGAAAATTTTCTTGGGAAACAAATAAAAACATAAAATATTGGAACCAATTATTAATTATTATCATTAAAAACCATACAAACGGCTACTCGTATGGCATATAAAAGCGGTACTAAAAAAGTTGTGTGAATCGCATGAAATATAGCCATTAATCAAAAAATATATTTATATATTATATAGTTGTGTGTGTGTTTGTATTTTTGTATCAAACATTAGGCCCGACAATCATATAAATTAATGTAGACTTAGGTAGTGTATCAGCAATCAAGTATAAGACATAAGATATAGTGAATATGTATACTTACAGTACTGGGCAGTGGGGATAAGTACTCAGGTCTTAGGTATTGGTTAGCACTGGATGTCAACATTTTAACATTACTTGTAATATTCCGCAAATATTGTTGAGAATCGTAATGAATATTAAACGAATACAGTCTCACTGTATGTATGAATGAGAAAGCACACTTTGTGTTCAACGACAAACAAACAAAACTATTAAAACAAAACAAATTCTTCACTGAAATTCACTGTTAAAGTGAGAGTTTGTGTTGAATTACTGGCGATTATATATCGTATACCGAGTATACTATGAAAGATTGCCACCACAGCGAGCAATGGTAAGCAAAAACTTCAGACTATATGGACAGTTAGCTTATGAAACGGTGTTCACTCACTGGAATTATGCCACAGAATGAGAGTGTATGTCGTTTTGCATCCAAACGTCTGACACAAGCATACTATGGGTTTGTGCGCATGGAGTGGGGAACAGGTCTTGGAGTTTGAGGGGATAGGGATCTCTCTTTCGCTGTACTGTACATACGTTGAACGCGTCGGCCTACCAATGATTGGCACAATTTCGCTGATACTGGAGCTGCAGCTCAAGAGGTTTTGTCGGAGGGGACGGGACGGGACAGCACTCTCGCGGCGATTCCTACTATCAACTGATCAAACATTTTCACCAAAAACTTTTCACTCAAGGGCTCACCATTTGCCTGAAGTTTTTCTACCAAAAACTTTTTCCACTAATAAATTAAAAGCTTTTTATTTTCGTAGTAATTATTTAATGTTTTTCAATATAATTATTACTATTATTAATGGCTTTTTTGAAAAACCAGAAGTTTTAGGCTAACGTTCGCAATATATTAGGAAATATTCATATAAATTATACCCAAAAAATACATATATTATTTAATGTTTTTCAATATAATTATTACTATTATTAATGGCTTTTTTGAAAAACCAGAAGTTTTAGGCTAACGTTCGCAATATATTAGGAAATATTCATATAAATTATACCCAAAAAATACATATTTATTATTTCGTAAATCAATTTTAGTGAAACATATGTGCGAAATATACTGTATGCTTCCCCCTATTTTAAAATCTTATTTATTTGAATTATATATATATCTGTGTGTAAAATATGGTGATTAAAAATATTTTTCCACTCAAAAATTAACGCTTTTTAATTAGCGTTGGAAAATCAATTTGCGAAAATCAATTGGCAAAATGTGTTTGTGAGCCTTAATTCCATGGCAAATGGGGTTAAGCACTGCCATACTGTGTACTGTATATATTGGGGTATGGAGTCGCTCATTAGCACCGGCACTCTATGTGGGGGCCGGGACTCCGAGTTCTCTCTCTCTCTCTCTCTCTCTCTCTCTCTCTCACCACAGTTAACAGCACTCAATCAAATGTGTCACAAATGCCAATCACTAGTGATTTATGTCATCACACATGCGATGATTGGTTACTCTCAGCCATTGACTGAAGAATTTGTTGAAAATACCGTATATTTTCCTATCAATACTTACTATACATATAAAAGAGGTCTTATTTTTTGGGCGAAAAACCTCCTTTGAAACTCAAATTTTAAAAGCTCCCGACACATATTTGTACCCTGGGCATCCCATTCAGCCATCAAAAACACATTCACCACTAATCCATAGCGCAGTTGTGTTTAGTGTTAATTAACTTTTTATTTTTGTGTACATTTTTTCTGCGCGAAAATATATTTATTGCTCAATCAATCACTCATTTATTGAATTCTATTGAATGACTTCCAAGTATTAATCAATAGTTTATTATAAAAACCCTTTTTACTGAAAAACTATTTTATTTATTTTTTCGCTTAAAAATGTATGTTTTTAATGGAAAGGCATGTGTGATGAGAGAGATGTATGTATGGAGATAACTGATGGGCTTAACCCGTAAATCCATTGGCGTCGGCAATGGCTCAATGGTTTGGAGCTGTATGTCCTCCCGGGGGCTGTATATGTTGGGGGCATTAGTGGGCCTTTAGCTGAACGGATGAATAGAGGGACTTGTGATGTGAATAGACATCATTTCCAAAGACCTCTCTCTCTCTCTCTCTCTCTCTCTCCTGTCATCCATTGATAACCGAAAACGTCTTGTATTGGCGTTTGAATGGCGTTGACGTTGAAAGGCGTCGGCATGAGATCAAAGACGAGAGTAAACCCCATGAGCTAACCCAACACTACTGTACTTACTGTTAGTTCTTTGATGCCATCGCTGGGCTGATGGATGCGATGCCAGAGAGTGATGGCTCTGATGGCAGAGTTGTCTCTCGCATGCCTTCCCTCTGTGTGCGCCAACACTGCCGTCAATACATGTGCTCTCGAAGTATTAAATTATGTTTTATTTACTAATATTATTAACTACTAATACACACATCCCTTTCCACCAACCATGTAGTATACAAGGGTATAGCGGCTATACATACATATTCTGTAGATATAATATATAGATAGATATTCTGTACGCATATATAAGCAGCACTTGAATTTCATACACAGCAAAACTTTTTAATTATCTGTTATTTCATAAATAATTTATTAATATTTTTAGGTTTACATCAGATAAGAGATGAATAGATAAGCAGAAATTAATACGTGTTTTGATATTTTAGTTAATTATGACATCAATTCGTAGTATAATATAAAACACAAACATTTTGTGAACACAAAACTCTCCATAATTTATTAATAAAAATTAATTAATCAGACAATTATTATGGCAAAGAAATAAGTTTTATTGTTATTAAATGTCATGAGAAAACGATTGTTTCGTATAACGCATTCAATTGGGAAAAATAATGTAATAAAATATTATTTATTAACCGATCGATTGTCTAATGAATTATTTAAGCGATGATTCAAGCGATCACTACTTATTAAACATAAATTATTTAATGAATTAATGTCTAAATCATACAAACAAGTACGGAATGGCATTAATATAATCGTGAAAAACTCTGCCTATGATTAAGGGAAAATGTTATGTCATTTATCATAACATTGCCTCTAAATGCCTGTATACTTCTTATACACTAATTAAAAAATACTGAAGTTTTTTAAGTGAAAAAAGCATTTATAACCAAAAGAAAAATTTAAACTGCTCTTTAAAATGCTTAACGAAATGTTGAGCACAAAAATTAATGACTTTTTCGTTGGCTGAGAGTGTAGTGTAAGTGAGTGAGTGAGTGAGAGAGAGAGAGAGAGAGAGAGAGAGAGAGAGAAATGAAATATTTGGTGCTGTCGTACATAAATGTATATTTCATTTATCGAGTGCTTGAACTCCTGGCAAACGGTTTGATATATTACTATATTTTTATATTAACGATAAGAATATAGTGAAGCAGATATTCTTCAGTACTGTTTCAACGACATAAGTGCTAAGACTTAAGTGTCGAGAGATGCTTGAACTCCTGGCAAACGGTTTGATATATTACTATATTTTTATATTAACGATAAGAATATAGTGAAGCAGATATTCTTCAGTACTGTTTCAACGACATAAGTGCTAAGACTTAAGTGTCGAGAGAGAGAGAGAGAGAGAGAGAGAGAGAGAGATTTCTCGACACTTTTCATTTCTCAGTGAAATATATGGCATATTCTTGAGCATTGGTTTTGAGTTTTAACACTGTTTTTATAGCCCAATGCCAACTAATTTATAACAAACACTATGGCAATTGCTTTTAACATTCATTAACATAAAAGTCATACACGCACTGAGAATATGCATATATTTTTAGCATATATCCACGATATTTGGGACAATATTCTGGCTGGTTATTTATGAAAACTATAAACACATTAAATAATTAGCACTCTCATATAATATTCATGTGAAAAGCCATTCAAAACTCTTATGTTAAAACTGGGAGATGAAAATTATTTTTATTGATTTTAGTGCTCAAGAAGTTATATATTTCGTGACAAACCATTGGCTTTTGAAAAGTCAGCGAAAGGGACAGACAAACAATTTATGAGTTTTCTCTCGGAAAAACTAATTACGAAAAATAACTTTTATTTTGAAAATTAAATTCACAAATAATTTCTCCCAAACTTCTCAATCTTTCTCTCAATACAAACAAATCTCTCAACGATTAATGTTATCTCAGAAATTCAAACACCATATCGTCGTCTATATAAAAAAACTACAAACAAGTCTTAAAAGCGCACAAATATATAATAAAAACTTTTTATATTTAAGGGTAAAATAATTTATATGTCACTAAAATTTAGTGACTCTAATAACAAAGTGACAGTCCATTTGTGCCAATAGTATACATACACATAGCATGGCAGTTTTTATCGTATAATTTAAAGCATGAATTTTATGGTTATTATTTAAGTGCCTGTGCGCGCCCGACTATCGGTGGAAAGGCTATACAATAAATTGCATTAAATTTTATTTTATTAGACTTTTTCGACTAAAATAAAAAACAAAATTAGTATAAAAACGGCTCAGAGAGCGAAACCAAACAAAAATGCACTCAAAATACTCTCTACGAAAACCTCTGCCATATATTTGGTGCTAAAAGTTATGGCTGTCTATAAATCTTATGACTACAGCTGTTCGCTGCCATTCACGACAAGTTGTTTCGCATAGTTTATGGGCAATGGTGTGCCAAATGCCGGTGCGGTGCCAATGGCTCGCAAGATCAGAGCAGTGCCTATGGTGTGTATGTCTATGACGATGGCAATTGTCGGCTGAATTGTCGTGGCTTTTATTATGCCATAAATGGTACGACGACTTCTCTCTCTCTCTCTCTCTCTCTCTCTCCCTCCCTCTCTCTCTCTCCGACAGTTGATTCACTCTCGCAAACACAACTAATAGCCTTAAAAGAGATCGTTATTTATTTGTCTTGTTATCACTCGTCGGCTGTCATACAAGAGGACTCAAGTGATGGCATAAATCAAAATCAAAATGCATTTGGATTTTTTCGTGTATTTTCTCAGTCTTATTATGGTTTCTCTCTTTGCCATCATTATAGCCGTCAACTCAAAGTAGTAATGCATTTAAAAAATCATACGTCCGTCCAGTGTGTGTCTGAATGAAAAACGCTAATCAGTTTGCATTAAATTTGTAGGAAAACAAAATAAATGACATGAGATGTGATTTGTTATGAAAGCGTAAAAAATTGTTTTTCAAGTGAAAGAGAGAGAGAGAGAGAGAGAGAGAGAGAGAGAAAACAATTTATATGTTTCGCTCGATAGACACTAACGGCTATAATGTATGAGAGATTGAATTCTTAGTATTCGCGGAAAACATAACAAATTTCTTGAATCATATAATAGTATGTAATGAATGAACAGAAACACAGTCTCTCTCTCTCTCTCTCTCTCTCCATACTTTTGCTGTCAATTGTATGTAATTTCAAATATGTTTGTAATCTCTTTGAGTCACTATTTTCTTGAATACATAATAACTCAACAAAAAGTTTATATTCTCTCTCTCCCCTATTTTTTGCCATAAATTTTATTTATTATATTTCTTAACATTTTAAGAAAAGGCAATGATTTGTGTGTTAAGAGTTAAGTAAACCTTTGGAGCCCTAGGTTTACAGCAAAAAAAGTCGACACAACCTAACAGTTAGTTATTCTCAGGAATATTACCATTCATTCAAGTTATACATAATATGAATGAATATAATATTTGTATTTTCACCGGAATTGGTAACTAACAAAACTTTCGGTGCAAATGTATAGCATAATCACTGCCCTGTGCCTCTCCCTCCCTGTCCCTTATCTATTGAGAAACAGTATTTGAAAAGTTATTAGAAAACACATATATTTTCTAATTTTTCGCTTATAATCATAAAAGAGATTTCTGTTTATTTTATTTATATTCACTTAAATAATAAATATTAATGAAAAGTAATGCCTAACGAAAAGTCAATAAAACTCGAGCGAAAAGCCATAAACAATACGCACAGTAATAGGCATTAAAAAATTGAAAGCAAAGCACTTGAACAGCAAATCCCAGGAAATTGCTATGAAATGACTTTCCATAGCAAATAATAATAACAAATTTGCACAACCATTGAAAGCCATTGAAATAGCATTCAAACAATTAAACAGAGGTGTGTTTTATGTGTGATTTACTATTCAAACAAAACACAATCCAATAGATAGTGTCGGCGGCGAAGGCCCTCATACACAACAGCCGTCACTCACACCGAGTGATAAATAAAGACCCGGCGCTCAGCTCTTTGACAGCAAAACACTTCTTATGAAACGATTTTTAAGAGACAGATATTATCGTTATATATATTATGAACGTATATATCAACAGTTTAAGTGCCAATTCTTGAGTTCTGTGACTCATATACATGTATATATGACATACACACCAGAATAAGTTATATATATAACTTATACTGTATGACAATACGGGTGTGTATGATATGGGGGCCGGCATTGTATGGAGTGGTATAGAGAGAAAAGGCAATCGAGAATTCCTATTAAGAGATCTCTCATAGCGTTTGCTTTCCACTCTCGACATCTGTTTTATCACATTTTTCAGTACTTATAAAAGTCAAGAAAAGTTTATCGGAAGTCAAACACACCATTCACTTCACTAGTCTCTAGCAATCATTTCTTGTGTGTGTTATCTATGAGTGGTATCAAAGACATCATCAGAGAGAAGTCGCCGACAAATAAATCGGCATTTTTTCTCTCATTTATAGAGCACTTTATTATTATTTAACTACTGATTGGATACGACCCATACGTAAGACAGTCCTCATCCCAAACCGAGACATCAAAGACACCCATTATCTGAGAGACACTCGAAGTCATATCCCTATCACTCGTATATCCATAAAACCAATATATTTTAATGACAAACAAATAGAGCATCTGTTTTGTTATCACTGAACCTTTCGCTTTACAAACTACTATCGAGTACTTATGTGGCTGAACGTCATGCCCGGCCCCTTACCAAGACTCGGAGCCCACATCCCAGTCCATATGCGCCCAACAATTTCCATATCAATCAAACTTATTGTGTGTATTGACTGATGACTTGATGGCTGTAAATGACAGATAAAGAGCTCCACTCTTGCAGTCATTTAGTGGTTTGGATGACACAAGTGGTGCCTTTGTGTGCCATTTGCGCCACAATATTATCTCATAATTGAAATCTTGAGCTATATTTCTAAATTGAATCTCTAATTCCTACACTCACTCTACAGTATCTCCCTTTCCATCCTCCCTTCCATCTCTTATCATATAACTGTCTAACCGTTTGGCAAACAAACGGCATTTAAAATATAAAACAACACTTTATTTATAATAACTTTTTTCATACTATATCTTGAGCTCAAGTTTTTATGACAGCTCTAATGAATCAAATGAATTATAAGTATATTTCTCTTAAGTCTTTCCCCCTCTAGAAAATCGTTTATTATAAAAAAAAAGTGAGAGAAGTTTTAAAACATTTTTTCATTTAACTCAACCTTAAAATAACATTTGATGTCAAACGCATACAACAAACGCGAAAGACATTCATTATATTGTATTAACAGTTTAGCAAAAAATACTATTTTTAATGAATGAGTGCAGAAAATAAGCATTTTTGCAAATTATGGCTCAAATAGATTTATGTATTATTTTTTCTATACCATTCGCTAATATTTATTATCCGCCACTCGTTTGCACTCAAAAAATCTCATTGAAAGCAAAAAACGATTTCTCTATTTATGTGTTTAAAAACTAAGAAGAAAAGTGAAATATTTATTTCGCCTCTCATTTGTGTCTTAACTTGTGTTGAGTTCACACATCTTATTAATGAACAGAATCGTCAGAATCGTTAGAGGAATGTAGCCTAACATTAGGCGCTCACTGGAGAGAGAGAGAGAGAGAGAGAGAGAGAGACTGAATGGACTGATAGATTGAGGCGAAAGAATTAGACGAATTAACTAAACAGTTGTGAGGATTGGCTTTTTGCGAGCTGACACTAAAACTATAAATCTTTTGATCCCATTCCCTATGCCATGCAGTAGACAACTACCAGCGCGAGACATAGTGAGCCATCAATCGTTAACTGGCTGACTGACCCCAATTGAATCGCTATTATACAGCCAGTGGTAGTGATATATACAGTGATGAACACAGAATAAGCCGGGTTCACTCGATTTATAAACTCCGAGTCTCTCTCTCTCTCTCTCTCTCTCGACTATAATCGCGCGATTCCTACGAAAGGCGACAATAAATTCTGGCTTTTATTGCCTTTTTTGGACTCACATTAGAAAATATTTTTGGCCAAACATTTAGCGCACGATTTGATTGTTCACTGAATGCCAAATCACTCCCCCTTTAAGTTTTGTCCATTAGTTTTATGGCCTTTTATTGCCCGTTAATACCATTTACAATGATTTATTCACTCGCTTTTTATCATTACTTTTCTCTCTCACTCGCTATCATTGCAATCACTTCAAGAATATGTTGTTTTGTGTTTTAAAAACTCGATATAAAAATAGAAAATAAATTATACTTTTATTTCTGGATTTATGTCTTTATTATAATCCCCCGGAATTATGGAGAGAAATATTATTGCGGATAATATATGACTAAACACTTCATATATATGTGTGTAATATATGATTGATTTTATCTGAGAAACTATTGTATAAATCATGAATATAACGACAATTCACATGCGATTGTGTCTGTCATTCATACGAGTTATGTATGAAAAAAGGTATTCATTTCTCCATTAATTATCGGTTTTTTAATTAAATAACATTTTATTTCGTTTGGCGATATAAATTCATTTCGACTGCATTTCATTAATAATAAAATATATGTTCAATCAATACATTAAACAACAATTCTTATGTAACACAAAAAACTTTTCAAACAATTTTAGGCTGTCAAATCAAATATCTATAGCATTGATTTCTGTACAGAATATATTAGCCATAGACAGACATCTAGTGTTCAAAACTGTATACTTTCATACATTGGCACGAATATTAAGCAATCATATTGACATATATTAAAAAGTACTGAAA